AGCCTACCACACCCAGCGGCGGACCTACTCCGGAAGTTCCAGCAGGAAGGAACACCTGCAGTGATGTCCCCTCCTCCCTGGGAGGGTGGCCGCATAACAGCAGCCCTCACAAGGGGACCGCATAAGTCTTCCCTCAACGGGATCGATTTCCTCCGGGAAGAGTATGCGGACATGATGGACAAGCAGCAGTGGACTGTTTTGCCTGCGGAGCTGGTGCGTAACCTCCCCGGGCTTTGGTTAAGCCCCCTCAGATTGGTACCACAACGAGGCCGGCGAGACAGGATGATCTCGGATTACAGTTACTTCGGGGTCAATAAGGACACACTCCCCCGGGCACCGGCCGAAGCCGTACACTGCATTGCCTCCTCCAGAGGATCCACCATGCAAATGATCTATTCGGGCCCGTCTATATGTCCAAGATAGACCTATCCGACGGCTTTTATCGGCTGTGGGTGTAGCCCGAAGACACACCAAGCCTCGCAGTGCTGTTCCCAGCCAGGAAAGGGGAAGAACGACTGGTGGGAATTCCCCTCACTAATCCCATGGGCTGGTGCTCTTCCCCACCAAACTTCAGCGCCTGTACCAAAACAGTCGCTGATTTGGCTAACAACCTACTGAATGAGCCCAACGGATTGCAGACTATGCGGGTTGCACCGCACAGGCTAGACCAAATTTCGGATCGGAGACACCCCCCGAAGACAACAAGGAGGCCATGAGCAAAGCACCGCAGTTACCCCACGGAGTGCACACCACTATGCCTGCACGTCGACCTGTGAGGTACTGGGATGTGTATGTGGATGATTTTTGTGGTCTAGTACAGGGCAAGCGATGGACAAGGAGAGCTGTGAAGCGGGCCCTCCTACACTCACTAGACGAAGTCTTCCGGCCGCTGGATGCGGCAGACACAGCCTTTAGACAGGAGCCCGCCTCCACAAAGAAGCTGAAGAAAGGCGACGCAACGTGGGCCACATCCAAAATCATTCTCGGCTGGCTCCTAGACACACGTAATAAGATGTGGACAGGCAATATTAGAGTCCATTCAGCCTGGCCAGAAGTATGCTACCGTCAAGCAGTGGCACAAGATATTGGGCAAACTGCGATCCATGGCCATTGCATTGCCCGGATCGCTGGGACTGTTCTCCCTCCTACAAGAAGCTCTCTGCCACCAAGAATCAGGCCGTCACCGGTTGCGATTGACCAGAGCCCTGCATGGGTTCCTTGCAGACTTCAGGTGGTTGGCCCAAGATATTGCTAATCAGCCTACTCAGATTGCAGAGCTCATCCCCGACAAGTGGCCGGCTACGATAGGCGCCTGCGATGCATCAGGAGCGGGCATGGGGGGAGTCCACTTTGTCCCCCTGCCTAGCGGCGACATCCAGCCGTTATGTTGGAGATCCACCTTTCCAGCCTGGATTCAGAGAGATCTAGTGTCATTCGATAATCCGGACGAGGGAAAGATCACCAACAGTGAGCTAGAGTTAGCAGGGTCCCTAGCACATATCGATGTCCTTGCCCAGGCGTCACCGAAAGAACGGTTCATAACCTGTATGATAATACAGCTACCGTGTATTGGCAAAGGAAAGGAGCCGCAACCACGACAGGACCGGTGGCCTACCTCCTCCAAGCTCAGGCCCTACACCAAAGAACCTATAGATATGTGCCCCTCCACGATTATATACCAGGCCCGCGGAATGCTATGGCTGACACCCTGTCTCGAGCTTGGCACCTCACAGACTCACAAATACTGTCTCATTTCAATGATATTTATCCCCAGAGCTTGCCATGGAAAATATGCCAGCTGAGAAGGCCCATGCGTTCCATACTGATCTCCGCACTGTCCAGGAGACGATGCAATCCAGTGTTACTGAAGGCTACGCCAAAAAGAAGGATGCCCATTGGGACTGCTGGTTTATCTTCTGCATGTCTCAGGGGATTGACCCCTTCCTCCGAACCTCCACAGATCCGGTCCCCTATCTCCAAGTCTTTGGTGCAAGATACCACAATGGGAGAGTATCCCCCAGCCGCAAGCGCTCACGAGCTCACATGGTATCGGACGCCGTTAGGTCAGTGGGACAGGCGCTCACCCGCCTGCTGGGGGCCCCAGACCCCAGACTCAACCGATTCGGTAGTTTAGACTATCGTCTCAGTGCTCAGTTCCAAGCTTACAGAAACAAGGACAGTCCCCCTTCCCGTGTGAAACCTGTCCCTGTTACCCTTATAATTCACACACTCAACTTCGCTTATCGTCAACAGCCAACTCCTGAGCGGAAGGCAGTTGCCAACATGATGTGCATCGCCTTCTTCTTCTGCCTGCGGCCTGGGGAATATACTGGTACAACAACAGACGACCAAGCCTTTTCCCTCAATGATGTTGCATTTTTCATTGGCTCCCGGCGGCTAAACTCCCAGCATGCCTCAGACGCAGAGATCAATGCAGCAACCTCCATACAGCTCACGTTTACCACACAGAAGAATGGAACAAAAGGAGATGTTATTGCACATTCCCGAAGCGGTGATCCGCTGTGCTGTCCCGTCACGGCAGTCATCAGGCAATTCCTCCTTCATCGACAAAGACCATACAATGGCACCATCAAGCTGGCGAGTTATTATAACCGTCACAACACCAATGTACGTGTCACGGCCAACATGATAACAACGACGATGCGCTGGCACGCCGCTGTCCTGGAACCGACCACTGGGATAGCACCGCGGTCCCTCAGTGCCCGGTCGCTCCGAGCCGGGGGTGCTATGGCCCTTCTCCAAGGCAAATGTGACTCTAATGTCATCAAATTGCTAGCAAGATGGCATAGTGATGCCATGATGCGTTATCTCCATCAACAATCGGTCCCCCTGTTCCGAAACCTGGCAACACTCATGTTCAACAATGGCACGTACAGCTTCTTGCCGGAGGAATCCGTCCCCGCATCGCCGACGTAATTCCTCCGCTCCCGTTTCCTCGCCTTGCTCCCATCTTCTGCACCACAACCTGCTCACCACCGGCTTCTGCACCCGCGCCATCGTTCCCGCCCTCGCTCTGCTCCCACCCAGTGGGCTGACTGGCCCTGTGGCAGCTACTAGTAACAGTATGCGTTGGCCAGTGGTGGGTTGGATAAGCAGGCTCAGGAGCTCCCCGCAGCCACCAAAGGAACCCTAACCCTAACTGGAAGGGCCTCCACGTGGCTTAGGGTTGCTCCGCTTAACCCACCAGCACAGACTATACAACTAGCACCCAGAGGATCTGGGAAACTAAGTAAGGAGGGACTCGTTACGAAGGCTGTTTTGTCCTGGGACAAACAGCCGAGGATGGAATATGAATTTTCAAATCATGCTGCAGTAGTTTTCGACGCGTTGCGCACCCCTCCCATATTTATGACCCCTGGCTCTATGTGCGTTTCATCGAATCGAGTCACGCGACCAGAATCATGGTCGCGCTACTGTTCTCTTCATTTTTACTATGTAAATACCATACAGTATCGCACGAACGATATTCTTTCGTTCCTCGATCGGAGTATGATTGAATTACAAAGTGCGGTATCTTTTACGAGAATTTCTCGTGACAGTTTTGTTCCGCGAGCGGTACGTGGCAGGAATCTATCTTCGGACCTGCTGTTTTTGATGTTCTCAGATGTCTTCATAACTCCAACAAATTGTTCTACAAGAACGCCGGATGCAACAAGAACAAACAAAAAATTGAAAAAACACTTCTCCACAATGGTTCGCTTCACGATCTCTGCAACTCCGTGTTCACTCGCACTGCTTCTGCTATGGCAACAGCATACCGCAACAGATGGCTTCTCGAACAGGCTCGCCACCACCGCAAGAGCCACGGAGGGCGGCAGCGCCTTGTTCGGCTACGCCGCCTTTCAATACGAAGAAAACGACGCCATCATGCAGGAACAAAACGGCGGCGTCGTTCCCACCAAGCCTCGCACACCGGTCCAGACTGTCCCGAGCGCGATGTCTAAGATCACGGTCACGAAGCCGAGCGACGACCAGCACGACGCCAACTTCCACACCGTGAAGACCGTCCCCAGCGCCATGTCCAGGATCGAGCGTGGATCCG